CGTAAAACAGATTCACCAAAACGCATTCTAGCGGAAACCTCATAACTCAGGCTCTCCAAGTCCAAATCCAGAAATTCCAAAACCAGATGAAAGCTACGAAACAGGGCTAAATTTCATCAGAAGGCCTTAACAACCAATTCGGAAGTAATTCCAGCCAAAATAACCAATTACAGGCGCAATTCTTACATTCGGGTAAAACCAGAACAGCAATAGTAATTTCAACTTTTCTCATTCTACACTACTCCGATTGACCAAAAATTTTGTAGGCACCTCTAAAATGTCATTCCCTTCAACTTTCATGTTTTAAGTCAAGGCCAATTCGGCCTCTAACGAGGAGCTAAAAATTCGGGCAGAATGCTCCCTCAAGAACCCTAATTTTCTGAAATTTCTTCCAAACCAGAAATTGGTTGCAATTAATCACTTTTTCCACCTCCTAGAGTCATTATATACCATTTCTAATCATCATAGATAGCCACACAATCATGCTTATATTAAAACAGAAAAAATCCCCAAAAATAATAAAACTTCATCACTTCAACCACAAATCAAGAAATAACCCATAAACTTGCATCTCATACTACCACTAAGCATGATTTAAGCATCAATTAAGGGAGGAGGGTGGTTCTTCACAACTTACCTTAAAACAAGAGAGAGAGAGCTATTGGACACCTTAACTTTCCAATTAACTTCACACAACAACTCACCAACACCTCCTTAAGTGGTTTTATGGAGCAAAATCAAGGTTGGATGGTTGGTTTTGATGATTTGGAGCAAACTTGAAGAGTTTTCTTCCTTGTGCTTAGAGTAAGAGAGAGAGAATGAGAGAATGAGAGGGCCGGCCACCATGGAGGATTTTTTGATGATTTTTGGGTCATTTTTAAGCTATTTTAACCAAATTGGTAAAAAGGTGAATAGTGTTCAAAAAGGTCAAACCACTCCTATGGTGACACTTGTCACCTTTTAATAAATACTTACCTACCTTGTCTCTCTTATACCAATCCACTTAGCACCCTCTACTTATCTCTTAACACCCGATAAATTAATTTCAGTATTCAAAACTTAACCTAGTTGGCCGAAATTTTCCGAACTTTCGCACTAGTGGGTCCCACGTCCGGTATACGCTCTTAATTTCTAAAAATCCATTCGATACTAGAGAAAAACATCTAAAAATTATATCTGCTCCTTAAATTCATCTAGAATTTTTCCTAATCACGAAAATGCAAAAAACAAGCCATAAAAATGCGAGAAACCTAGAAAATGAAAATTACGGGTTCTCACAAATAGACTATTATTTTAGTTAATTCTTTGATCTATTGTCACACGCGTTATGATCCTTGGCTTTAAAGGTAACCATCAGATAGTTGCAGAATTGAGCTCTCACCCATCAAATCATTTTCTCCACGTATGCGTGCTTATTTTTAGTTGTGGAAATTAGCCTTTATGGCAATTTTGTGACGATTAAATGGAATTATAATATGTTTTGATTGAAAAGACGTGGTTGGATGGGTGTAAACGTTATTAACCACACATTGAAACATCTCTTAGTAACAAATTGCTGGTGTCATTATGGAAGGTCAAAACGGATCAACTGATCAAAAGCAAAACATATCCAAATTATTATTTGATTTTCTTGATGGGCTGGTGAAGACGAAAGGGAAAATCCATTTTTTTTTCAGGTCAATTAACCCATTTCTTTCTTACTATTGTGTGTTGTTGCATTCACAGGCAATTAAGGCAGTGGGCCCTACTTGTTGCCCTTTTCAACACGTCCATGTATGAGGGATATGTAAACTCCAAGTCCCTATCAAATCAATTTTCCAGCATCATTAGAAGCTCCAATAGGGAGGTGTTGGGACACGTAACCCTTCCCTTACATGGAATAGGGAATATCGATCCTACGGCCAGAAACCAAAACCCCATAAAAAGCTTCCCCTTCTCCCCCTAAAATATTCCCAGCGTATAACACGCACCCAACCCAGACAATCTTTCTTTTTTTTATCACTTTTTTTAAAGCTTTTATCCGGCTTAAGAAATCAGCGCCCGTATACCCTTCTCGCCCATTTTCTACGCAATTCCCCATCGTGATTCGTGTTTTCAATTTTCATAGCGTACAATTCAACGTAACCCTGATATCTATCTTTTCGTTACTACCCCACACAATTGGTGAACGGGTCAAGTTCGAGCCTGAGATATGCTCGTTTAATTAACAAGTCGAGTAATCTCGATTCGTTTGTTATCGGAGTAGCTCGATTAGGCTTGATAAGGAAGGGTACATATGTCATTTCATAATTCAAAAGTATAAAAATTGAAAATTTTAGATTTTTATTGGGATCAATTTGTACGAGCTCGAGCTCGAGCCACATGTCCCATCTGGCGAATCGAGTCCGAACACATTTCAAAGCTCGTCCACCTAATCGAGCAAGGTTGAACTTGGCTCGAGTTAAACTCGAGTCGACATTGGCAGCCAAATACTCGACTCGATTAACATCATTACCTATTTTTAACGTTAATTTTCTAAACACATGTTGACAACTTAACTACCTCTAAGTATTGTAACAACTAGCATAACAATCATTTGATAGGAAAAAACAAGGTTAAAATACTAAAAATTTCTTTACAAATGAGATTTTGTGTAAAATCAATTTGCAAAAACATTTAAGTAATTTTAAATTGCATAGATATCGTGTGTGCCTTTAGCACTAGTGTGAATAATGTTTATGGAAGTAACATCTATACAATATATAATGCCTGAATAATAGCAATTGGTATAGACACTTTTTGTTATCTTTTGAATTTCAAATTTTAAATTATAAAAATTAATTTTTGCCCTAATCACATTTTACCAATATAACCACCTTAAGTATTGTATCTACCAAATTACTATAATCATATAAACCAAAGTTCTTTCTTGAAAACTTTATATAAATATTTTATAAGTAAAAAATAAAATTTATACAAAATTAATTTATTTTAATTATTTCTTGATTGCACACGCATTGGATGTGTACTTAACACTAGTGAAAATAATGCTCATGGAAGTAACGTCTAGGGCTGTAAACGAGTCGAGTCGAGTCGAGTTTTGGCTTAATCGAGTCAAGCTTGACTTAATTTTATCAAACTCGAACTCGAGTTCGAGCTCGACGAGCTGACAATTTTGAAGGTCGAGCTCGATCTCGAAAAAATTAAAATAATTATTTTATTTTTTTAAAAAATAAATAAAATAATATTTTTTCTTAATAAATAATAAAATATTAAGGATATTTATGTAATTTTACTATTAAAATAAAAAATAAAAATATATATATACTCGGCTCGCGAGCTAACGAGTTTAATATTTTGAGTTTGAGTTCGAGCTCTACTTTGACTCGACCAGCTCGAACTCGAGTCGAGTTTGAATCGAGCGGCTCGATTCGTTTACACCCCTAGTAACGCCTCAAGGGCATGTTCCCAAACAAGTTCTTTCTTCCCGATGCGATGGTTAGTTGGGATAGAAGCTCAAGTGAAATGTTATATTTCCTTTAATTTAACCCTGAGATGAGGGAAAAGGCCCGATACAAAGTTCAAAACTCTGGGCTTGGCCCAAAATATAGCGAGAACTAGAATCTATTTTATTTATGTGTTTTATAATTTCTCTTTTTTATTTATGTAAAGTTTTAAAGATATCAATTTTTAAATGAGAAAGCATTTAAGGACTTGAATTCTTTGAGCCCCAAAAGATATAAAAGTTCCAAGTCCCTTTAAATAATTTCACTAACCCTTTTTTTTTCAATTCACTAACACTATGGGATGGAAATTCTCAACTTACATGACTTTATTGTATTACATTCGTGAATGAGAATCATTATGTTAATGATATGTATGTCCAAATATTTTATCTTTACATTATTTAAGGGCTTTTTTTAAATTTTTTGTTTTTTTAATACATTATTTTATAGTGTAAGTGGGAGGGTTCAATTTCAAAACCTATCACTTACACTCGCTCCTTCAAATCATCCAACTAATTCCTCCCCCATCCAAGGGCTTTTGTGAACTCCTGTGAGGACACCTTTTCTTTTTATTATTATTTTTGCGATTTGAGTACACTTATTAGTTACTACTAGATATAAAATAGTAAAAAAATTTGGACAGAAGGTCAAAGTGGAAGATGATTTCTTGTGTGCAGGACAAATTTGAAAGTTCATCACTTTTAGTGGCAAGATTGAACTTGTAAGTATGCTTCAAAGGCTAAAATGAAATCAATTCTATAAATGAGGCAGAGGAAATGCTATATACCCTTAAGATTTTACTTTATTGTTATTTCAATTGATCAAATGCCCTTAAGATTTTGCTTTATTGTTATTTCAATCGATCCAAAACAAAAAGCATCCACATAATTTTTGCACTTGACTAGCTTCTCAAAGCCAACCATCTTGTAACATGTTGCTTTGTAACTTAAAATGCCCCATACGACAATCAAATTGCTCAAAATGAAATAATAACCAAAGAAAGGACAACTATTGTACCATGATCTGATAGCTTTCAAGTATTTTAAAATGTAAACTCAACTTCATTTATTATTCATTGAGATGGAAGGTTAGGATCTACAATCCAAAAAGTAAAAGTAATAGTTTTACATGAAGAATACATGCAAATTGCATATGCGTTGTCCTTGGCACGGACAACTAGAAAAGAATCTCAAGGGATGATTAAATTTGTGGTGATTGATCAAAATTTCATTAAGGCAACAACTAAATGAGCAAACCAAAATAACCAGCGTTACTCTTTATGTAGGTGGCATCATCTAAATACTAATCCAATAACTTGAAAAAATTTGAACAATCTTGTCCTCAAATATAGGCAAAATCAAGTAATTATTACTTTGTCAAGATTACAAATTCAGCATTTCTTTCATCTGGTTAATCCATTGCATGCATGGTCATTGTGCTTGTTAATCTTTTTAAAGGCTCTTGAAGTCAAGAAGGTTCAATTAGGCTAAAGACAGTGTTGCATTTGAACTACAAATGGAAGGCAAAAGAAAAGCAGTTGATGATACTGGCGGTGATAATGGCGATGGAGGAGGAGCTAGTGGCTATGGTGGTAACACTAGGAGTATCGGTCTATTACCGAGGAGACCAACAACAAGGAGGTCATTTCTACCTCCTTTTCTGGAGAAGACATTCAACATGGTTGAAGATCCAGAAACTAACTCCATCATATCTTGGAGTCCAAACGGTACAAGTTTCACAATTTGGGACCAAATCAAGTTCACTATAGAGCTCCTTCCCAAGACCTTTAACCGTGGCAATCAGTCAAGCTTTGTCCGTCAACTCAACAATTACGTGAGTACATCATGTTAATTCATCTTTATGTTGTTTAAACACTTCACCATTAATTGGACAAGTAACATAAATTTAATCTCTTTACCAAGTTTAATGCTCAATGCGGTAGTCTTAATATGTCAAAGTACAACATTGTCTTGCTTATTACCTAACAGCAATTTTGGTAGTGAAACTCTATTTGGAATTCATAATATAATTGACTTAACGATTTTACATTTGTTTATTTGAAAAGTTCATCATTTTCTTTTTAAAATGTTATAGGGTTCAGAAAGATCAGTTCGGAGAAATTTGAATATGCACACCCATTGTTTCAAGCAGGAAAGAGGGATTTGCTCCAGCATATACAGCGAAAGAACCAACAGTGTAAGTATGATTCCGTGATTCAGCCTTCATGTGGATCTACAGATAATTTGTTGAAGGATAGAGTGGAGGACGAGCTAGAAACTCTAATGATTGAGCAGCATGGTTTGAAACTTGAACTTGAGAAAATTTATGAAAAACTGGGGCATCACTTCACCAAAATAGAAGAGATCCAGAAGCTAGGAGAGAAAAGAGAAATGATTGAGCAGCATGGTTTGAAACTTGAAATTGAGAAAATTTATGAAAAACTGAGGAATCACCTCAACAAAATAGAAGAGATCCAGAAGCTAAGAGAGAAAAGAGAAATGAGTAAATATGAAGCCAATAAGAATCAAGAGTTGGACAACTCTACGAGCAAGGAAATCTCATTGGAGCTTGTCGCTGAGGGGAGTTGTTCTAGACATACTGACAAGGACGAACAAGTACAAGAAGGAGTGATGGTAATCCAAACAGAAGGAAAAAATTTGTGCTCCCCTGATAACTCAGGAGGTTCAAACCAAGAAAAGAAAGCTACTGCAACTTCAGAAACTTTTGAAAATCGTGACTTCAGGAAGAAAATGATGAGGATGATTCAGAGCATGAAGAAGAGTATCAAACAAAAGCCATTCTGAAGTTGCCGGACCTCAACGCCCCCAATACCCTTGTTCAAGGGGAAAATCAAGAAACCTGTTACTAAGAGATCAACTGGCTCGTTTTCCTCTAATATTTTCTTATTTACTTTTTCTATATATAATTTTTGTTCTTTTCTAATATTTTTTAGTTCTTCAAGATGTTTAAATTTTTCTAATTTATAAACTCTGAAATGGCCATCATGATCATATCTGATATATTTCATGCTGGATGGTTTTGAAAACACTGCATCTGGTTCATTTGGCTCAGCTGAAGATATGTATAGAGCAAGCGTACCATTTACTGCTTTAACATAGCTTGTTTCAATGCTTTCCCTTTCTCCACGAATCAAAAAATTGAAGTACATCTGCAGGGTGTTAGACTTGTAAAATGCAAATAGACCTTGATGGTTTACCAAAGATAGTAATTGCCCTCGTTCCAACTAGTTTCAGATAATCTAGCCACAAGAGTTTGACCATCCACCAGTTTCTGCCCTGGAAGAAGTGTATCTGTTGGATGATCAAAAGACTGCCAAACAGTTTGATTGTTCCCATCATGAAGCACCAGATTATCGGTTTCCATCACCTTCATGCCCACAACACCCTTATTAGATGTACTGGTAGACCATACAAGAGTTCCATCTGCATCTTTCAAGATCAAATTTCCATCTGGGAGAAACTATAGAGTTCCATTCTCGCGGATAGGTTTGTTTCTGTTTGCAAACCAGACTACATCAAGATCAGACCAATAATGAACCCCAACGAAATCTGAACGATAGCGCACGATTCCAATGGAGAAAACAAAAGAATAGTCTGTTCCATTTGAGACAAAACCGCAAGCATAACCAACCCGCGGCCTTATCTCTTTTAACAAAATAATTTGCATAAAAGGCCCTGACGAATCATTGAAAGTATAGTAAGGATTAAGTAAGGCCCTGGTAACATTGGCTGCAGAGTGGTTATTGTTTCTCCATGAAGTGGAGATTTTTACTGTTTCTTGAGCTACCACCTCTGTTGAAAGGAAGTTTATTTGGTGGACTACAATCACAAGAAAAACTAACTGCAAAGCTTCTTTGAAAGACCATCTAACCATGAATTCTGTGGTCCTATGATGAACTAAACTGGATAATTGAACTGCCTGAGGATGGAAAAGGAGAATTATTTTCGTACCATTTTCTACTGGTGACTTATGTATATAACTATTATATTATTACTAAAATAGCCTTTTTTTGTTTGGAATAATAGCTTTCTTGAGGTCTCTTATCATGAAAATTGATTAGCAGACTGATGATTAGACTAAGCCAATGGAAAATTTACTGTTTTAAATCAGTTTGCACTTCCAAATATTACTAGGATCCTTATTATCCTTTTAGATTTAGTGGGGAAAAAAATTGAAAAATTTACTATACCCCCAATAATAAGCCGTTGGTTATCAATCTTCCATGTTCGGTTCTAACAGTTTTGGTTGTGAGCTATTTATAATTTCCCAGCTAAGTTGAGGTGCCATAAGATCTTGTAGCAGTCATTGGGATGGAATTGCCACAAGTCTTGAAAGGTCCTTTAGTCATTTTCTCAGGGCAAGGGATTGATGTCAGGTGCGGAGGCCCCGTCCTGGGCCTAGACACGTGGCAGCCCAGGCATGGCCGAGCTGGGCCTCAGCTCCATGCCCCTGGCAGCTGTCCTGGGCCGCGCTGCTAGGGCTCCTGAAGGAGGCAGGGGTCCATCCCGAAGAGGTCGGGGAGAATCCTCCTAAGTGCGGGATATGGACTATTCTGGGCAGGTCCCGAAACGTACCGAGGTCGGACTCCCTTAGCAGGTATGAAAGGTAACTCACACCAGGAAAAGAAGGTACGCTCATTATTGGCACATTACGCCCGACTGCTTTACTTCCCGTAAATCTCATCCACCGGAAAACTAACTTGACCGTCGGAGTGCCCTCGGGGACAACCCTCAGGCCCCCCATTGCTAGTTCATTCTTGTTTGTTTTGCAGGCTTGGAACCAGCTCTTCCATCAGCGCACCGAGCCAGTCAGGTCAGCTCGGTCCGGGGAAGCTCAACGCTTCTTCAGTTGGCGCCGTCTGTGGGAACCGCAGAGTAATCAAGATTGTGTTGATGGCAAGGACGCGATCCAAGCGAACGATAGAGAGCACCGGCCCTGGAGGCGGTGAGGGCTCCCGGCGGATGGAGACCGGGGCAGATCCGGGCGCTAGAGGCTCAGCCCTGTCGGGGGAACGAAGGCAGCAGATTTTCCAGTTCGTGACGGAGAACCTTCCTATGCTGAAAGACATCATCCGGCAGGCGAAGGAGGGGGGCGAAGCCGGTGGCGCACATACCTCCAAGGCAAAGTGTAGACACCAAATTTTGAATAATTTTATGTGGCATCTATTTCATGATTTTCATTTTAGATTGCTTGCATTCGTTGTTTACTTTTAGTTTTAATTTTTAGTTTTAGCTTTTAAGTTTAAAATTAGCGTAGAGTTTTTAGAGAAAAGAAAAAGAAAACATCAAAAATATGTTTTAGTCATTTTGTTTCTATCCAATGCTTTCTTGAAAGAAAAATGCAAATGAAAAATCATAAAAAAAGGAGAAAAGAGAAAATTAAAGAAAAAAGAGGGAAAAGAAGAAAAATTCAAAAAATAGGCTTCAGTTGGATTGGAAAAATGGAAAAAGGAAAAAGGAAAATTTGTTCACAAAAATATGTTTATTTCTTTAAATTCAATCTTTGGGCACTTTAGTTATTTTTATTAAGTTATTTTTGAGATAAGAAAATGAACGAAAATGAAAAAGAAAATGTGAAAAGATGGAAAAATGGCCATTTTTGTTGTTTTTCGGTTTAGTTCTTAAATTATTATTATTACTATTATTATTATCTGGTTTTTGTCAATTTGTTATTATTATTATTATTTATATTTTATCATTTCTGCATTTATTAAGTTGAAAAAAAAAAAAAAAAAAAAGGATAAGATGAACACGCGACTTGCAAGCTGCGTTTTTGCAGCTTGCAAAGAGGGGCTCTTGGCAGCCCCTTAGCTGTAAATATGAAGAAAAAGGCTGGGGTTTTAGGGTTGTGAGGTTTCCATATAAATAGAAAGAGAGCCAGCAGCCGCAGGGGAGAGGTTCTCGGATGAGGTGAAAAAAAAAACAGCGGAGAGAAAATGAGAGCTTTGGTTGGCGGCGGTAGAAAGAAGAAGGCTGCGGAGGCTTATTGGAGTGAAGGACTGAAAAGAACTAGAAAGCTACTAGGGTTTCTGGGGAGCGATAGAGAGCGGGGGACGGCAAAAAGAAAGAAAAACTGAGAGGAGAGAATGGCTAAAAAACTGGAGAGAGCAGGGAAAGTTTGGGGGGCTAGCAGCGATCCCACCGAAGATGGGTCTGGCGAACAGCAGCGAAGGTTATCTTCATCCCTGATGAGGAGTGCCAGAAGCCCGACCTCCTCGTCACCTCCAGTGACTACCTCCGGGTCGCCGACGATGGAACCCGCGTCGACATGAAGGGCCTCCTCAACAACTACCGCAACAGCAAGTTCTCCGGCCCCCTCACCTCCTTTGACTGGAACGAGGCAGAACCCAAGCGCATCGGCGCCTCCAGCATCGACACCACCTGCACCATCTGAGACATCGACCGCGAGACCGTCGACACCCAGCTCATCGCCCGCGACAAGGAGCACTCCACCCTTATCTACGAGAGCTCCGAGCCCAATACGCCGCTTGTCCGCCTTGGTTGGAACGAACAGGACCCCCGGTACATGGCCACTATCGTTATGGACAGCGCCAAGGTAGTCGTCCTGGACATCCGCTTCCCACGCTTCCAGTCGTGGAGCTGCAGCGGCGTCAGGCCAGTACCAACACCATCGCCTGGACTCCCCACAGCTCGTGCCACATCTGCACTGCTGGAGATGACTCCCAGGCCCTCATTTGGGATCTCTCTTCCATGGGCTAGCCCACTGAGGGTGGATTGGACCCCATTCTCGTTTACACTGCCGGTGCCGAAATTGAGCAGCCACGGTGGTCCTCTTCCCAGCCTGATTGGGTTGCCATCGCCTTCTCGAATAAGCTTCAGATGCTGAAGGTATGACTCGTGTTTCATTGTCTGGATCCCAGGTAATCGCTACCGTAGCTGCAATAATCGTTTTCTTATCCCTTGTTTGGATTGCATGCATTTTTTAGAACTGAGTATGATATTTTTCTGAGTTGCTTGTTCACTTGGATCATGGTTGCTTAATCTAAAGTTGTTAGTTGCTTAATCCTAGTTGAAGTTGTGTATTTGAACTAGAAAATCTGGGTCAGTTTGCAAGCAAAGTGCAGCAATTTCATTCTTGTTTGATTGAAGCTTAATAGAAAATAGCTGCAGAAAATGATATCTGAAAAATGCAGAAATGTTTTCGATGTTCGCGGCTGGTCTTTCTTTTGTTCGTTCATATGTTCCAGTAGTAGTTTTCCTTGCGTTTCTGTGAATCTTGGGGTTTGCTTAAGAGCATGTTTGAGGGGTTTTTGGTTTGGGCAGCATTACGCCAGATTTTAGTTGCTGTTTTTCTTTTACAAGGCATGCGTGTGATTAGCAACTTAGAAAATAACAGCCATCAACCCGGATTTTCCTGATTTGATCTAGCAATGATAGTGTATTATTTGGCTTGGTTGATGATTTGGGGGATTGTCATATGATCATTTGATTCAAAAGTTGTTATCGGTTGGTAATGTTTGGGTTGGTAATGAAGCAAAAGGCTGCGGTTGAAGGTAAACCAGAAGATGAGAAACAAAGGCTTCGTGCATGCATGAAATAATTCTTTAAAATTGCCTCTTAACCCCCTCAAGTTTCACCTTATGCTACTATGACCCACAAAATTGAGAAAAACTAATCAATTGGGTCCCTGTGATTTTTGCAGCAATGCATTATGACCCAACCAATTGAATAATGGCAGCTTTAATTTTTGCAATTGCGTTGCTTGCTTTACTTCAATTAACTACCATGCTTTGTCATTTGCATTTAAGCCATAACTTTAGAGGCTTTACGATCAAGTGAGCTTTGTTTTTGTACATTTTCTTTAATTTTCCCAAATAAATTGGTACCT